TTCTTGTCTTGCAGTATTAGTTTGCCATATTGTAGAGGACACCGACTGATGAGGTGAACTACATTCACACATTGACACCTCTCTTGTGACATATCTCCACTAAAAAGTCATACCTGTAACATTGATATGCTTCACATACGTATAGTACCATATATACTTACTGCAAACAAAAAACATTTCTCTTGTGACAAGAGCTGTACATAGTAGTACCAAAAAACACTTCTCTTGTGATACATCACACTTTGGGGTCCTCCTTTGATAAACAATGACAAAAGACTCTATCTAACAGCTCATGTCTCCTTAACAAACCAAGCCTCCCGTAGCAGATCATACAGACCACATTTTTTGCAATATTTAAAGCTGTATACTTCCTTTGACGAGCCACACCCCATTGGTAAATGTCACCTCTTATTATGCTGAACCAAACCATGAACGACAAAGCTGACACAGACAAGCAACAGACCACACCTAGTACTGGATTTGTGGTACCTTCTGCACTAAAAAATCCCACAAATAATTCAAACTCTAGCTCTGCTCCTCACCTGTGATAAAACACCACATAACAAATTTATCATGTCACATATCTTTAAACAACATAACATCTACATAGAGTGTCACGCCCTGTACGAAAAACTGAACTTATGCAAAGCCCGCCTCCTGTTAAATGCAGCCACACCCTTTTATCTTGCCACACCCCTTTATTAAGTCACACCCCTTTATCTTGTCATTCTCCTTCATCCAGCTACACCTCTTTATATTGCCATGCGCCTTTATATAGCCACGCCCCTTTATATAGCCACGCTCTTTATCTTGCTACACCCCTTCATATAGCCACGCTCTTTATCTAATCACACCCCTTTATCTTGCCTCATTCCTTTAACTAACCACACCCCTTTATCTAGTCACACCCCTTTTTCTTGTCATTCTCCTTCATCCAGCTGCACTCCTTTATCCAGCCACACCTCTTTATCTTGCCACACCCCTTTATCTTGCCACGCCCCTTTATCTAGCCACATGATCTACATTGATAATCACAACTTCTCACAACAAGCACAAGCCACTTGTCTGTGATAATCAGCATATCTACAACATGTTTATATATCTAGTATGTTTGCTCCCATACACTCCCTGTGACAAGCCAGACTTCTAACAGGAGACATTGTAAGGCCTTGCCTCTTCCAAAAAAAGCCTACCTACAGCATTAACCATTTGACAGGTGATATTTGGACATATCAAATACACAGCTGTCATACTTCTGTGAACAAGACATAACACACAACATTTAATCAGCTGAGTATTGGCTTCATCAACAGAAAACAGTGACTATAACCCAACATCACCTTATATGAAATAATTCTCTTCTTGATTAACAATAGATAAATGGATTAGTTTTTCGATATCTACAGGTAAATAAACAGGACTAGCTGATACACATAACAAAACATATCATTTACTATCTACCAAACACAATCATTATGAGAGTAATATCATTGGTGTTTACCTTATAGTGCCTGGAGAACCAAATTCCTACAGCATACTTGCCAATTCCCCCCATTTTCGAGGTAAAATCACAATTTTTCATTTTTGACTTTTGAAATCAGCAGAATTCCCTACAATTTTATTGCATAGAAAAAACACGAACTATGACATTTTACATGTTTATTTTGTCAAACAGGTGTCATTGTAAGTATTTAAACGTGTCATTGTAAGTATTTAAACAGGTGTCATTGTAAGTTATTAAACATTTTTAGATTTAGCCATACAGTTTCTCCTGCATGAAAAAAGTGGAAGTTTGGCAAGGATGCTGTAGACAAGAAGACAAATGATGTGAGGGACTCATTCTAAACATTCAACGTCGTACAATAATCACTCCCACAGGTCTCGTCCAATCAGAGATGGTTTTATTCTCATTGAATAGACTAATTATAAATGCTCTTCAATAATGTTTGTCCTCTGGTTTCTGACCAATCATTTATCATGGATGTAGCTTGTGGTTGGGAAAGGTGGGATATAGCAGTTGATGTCAATTTGAGATATCTTTTCAGCAGCTTATTGACTTTTTCTGGCAAATCATGCTTTAAAATCCTAAAGCTGTCCCCAAGACTCCCATCCAGGGCTTCAACCAATGCTTCAGTTTCAACTTGCCATTCCCCCCCAAATTAATTGGATCATTCAAAAATCATTCAGTGTGTTGATTATTAGCATACCAACATCTGTGGGCTAAAAACACAGTCACAAAGTACGAAAACACATTTTGATGACTAAGATTTGTTTCACAACAAAATACAATGTACATGATCATATGCTATGGATAATAGACATGACAGAAGAAATACAGTTCGTTATCCTTACAGTTCTAATGGCTCTTGACCGGATATGCAAGAAACCATGATGTAAATCTCTTAATATACATGTATATTGAAGTATATTGAAAAATTACATATGTAAGTTTAAGTGCCGAGCATGGGCTTTACATTATATAACCAGATAACACTCCAGGCCAAACCTGGACTTATAGATAACACCTCAGTCGGAAGGAATCATCATATAATCCACCTCATACAATGTTTTCTCAATGTGTTTTTGTCGTTGGCTGAAGATATCAGACTCTCAAAAAGGTGCAAAACTTGTGTGCGCTGCGCCAAGGGCAGATAATATATATTCTGATGCAATCAGTATTATGATCAAGTATATAAAATAAATAAAATAAAACAATTCTTTACAAGCATATCAATGTTAATTATTCAGATAAAAACTTTCATGGTTTTAAGAGAAAATACAATATCCTGAACAAGTGTGAATATTGTCAACTGATCTTTGCATTGGTAGTCATGGTAAAGGCTGTCCAAGGACTGCGTTGTGTGGAAGGATACAACGACAGCCAGTGGTGAACAGGTCTGATGATGTATTAATGCCTTGCAATAAAACACGGTTCATTAATGATACCACTGTTATAGCACACAATGTTGGGAGTTACGGTAAACATCCATACTTCTCCCCACCGTCAAATATAGCGATCCACATCAAAGTTGGGAAATATCTGCTTATCATAAACATAAACTTTACTAATGAATATTTAAGTCACATACGTTATCTCACATCTTTCCTCATCCATATACACATATAAATATTCCATGTTTCCATGGCAACATAGACAATAACAAGTGTGGATGTCATGGTGATAGTTTATGCCACAACCATTACCTTATAGGGAATGCTAATCTTTATTACATTAGTATATATATATATCTAGTCACCATGGAAACGCTATGTTGAAGTGTTTAAAATGATATTGATGGAAGTGACAAAATATGTATTACAGAATACACACATGATACATAGAGTAATCACACTGACTCTTCTCACATCTGTACCATTGCAAATACCAATACACAATACATTCTATAAAACATATTCTTTAGATCATATATATATACACAGTACCCTTCAGCGCAGTGTCGTCACCGGACTAATTCACGATGTAGTACTTCCAAAACTGATGACTGTGGTAGTGATGTGTATATACCACTGTGGTAGTGATGTGTATATAACACTGTGGTAGTGGTGTGTATATAACACTGTGGTAGTGGTGTGTATATAACACTGTGGTAGTGATGTGATGTGTATATAACACTGTGGTAGTGATGTGTATATAACACTGTGGTAGTGATGTGTATATAACACTGTGGTAGTGATGTGTATATAACACTGTGGTAGTGATGTGTATATAACACTGTGGTAGTGATGTGTATATAACACTGTGGTAGTGATGTGTATATAACACTGTGGTAGTGATGTGTATATAACACTGTGGTAGTGATGTGTATATAACACTGTGGTAGTGATGTGTATATAACACTGTGGTAGTGATGTGTATATAACACTGTGGTAGTGATGTGTATATAACACTGTGGTAGTGATGTGTATATAACACTGTGGTAGTGATGTGTATATAACACTGTGGTAGTGATGTGTATATAACACTGTGGTAGTGATGTGTATATAACACTGTGGTAGTGATGTGTATATAACACTGTGGTAGTGATGTGTATATAACACTGTGGTAGTGATGTGTATATAACACTGTGGTAGTGATGTGTATATAACACTGTGGTAGTGATGTGTATATAACACTGTGGTAGTGATGTGTATATAACACTGTGGTAGTGATGTGTGTATAACACTGTGGTAGTGATGTGTATATAACACTGTGGTAGTGATGTGTATATAACACTGTGGTAGTGATGTGTATATAACACTGTGGTAGTGATGTGTATATAACACTGTGGTAGTGATGTGTATATAACACTGTGGTAGTGATGTGTATATAACACTGTGGTAGTGATGTGTATATAACACTGTGGTAGTGATGTGTATATAACACTGTGGTAGTGATGTGTATATAACACTGTGGTAGTGATGTGTATATAACACTGTGGTAGTGATGTGTATATAACACTGTGGTAGTGATGTGTATATAACACTGTGGTAGTGATGTGTATATAACACTGTGGTAGTGATGTGTATATAACACTGTGGTAGTGATGTGTATATAACACTGTGGTAGTGATGTGTATATAACACTGTGGTAGTGATGTGTATATAACACTGTGGTAGTGATGTGTATATAACACTGTGGTAGTGATGTGTATATAACACTGTGGTAGTGATGTGTATATAACACTGTGGTAGTGATGTGTATATAACACTGTGGTAGTGATGTGTATATAACACTGTGGTAGTGATGTGTATATAACACTGTGGTAGTGATGTGTATATAACACTGTGGTAGTGATGTGTATATAACACTGTGGTAGTGATGTGTATATAACACTGTGGTAGTGATGTGTATATAACACTGTGGTAGTGATGTGTATATAACACTGTGGTAGTGATGTGTATATAACACTGTGGTAGTGGTGTGTATATACCACTGTGGTAGTGATGTGTATATAACACTGTGGTAGTGATGTGTATAAAACACTGTGGTAGTGATGTGTATATAACACTGTGGTAGTGGTGTGTATATACCACTGTGGTAGTGATGTGTATATAACACTGTGGTAGTGTATAAGATATGTATGTGGTAGTAACACAGATGGTATTTGGCTTTTACACTTCCTTTACACAACCTCAAGCACTTGGAAAGACATTATATGCTGGCTCAATGAAACATTCTGTAAACTTCCTCAGGAATCTGTAGAAAGAACAACACATCTCCTTATTTGGAATGTGTTTCCTTATATGGAAAACATAGAAACCCCTTTTATGGAGCGTTAACATACATCCTTATACAGAACATACATCCTTATATGGAACATACATCCTTATATGGAACATAATCCTTATTTGGAACGTACATCCTTATTTGGAACATACATCCTTATACAGAACATTTTTCCTTGTATGGATTACATCCTTCAATGGAATATCGTATATCCTTATATGGAATAATCATTCCTTTTATGGAATAGGCTCCTCCTTCTCGTGGAATGCTTCTCCAAATATGGAATGATAACATGTCAATCATTGGGCAATGGGAGGGGAGGTACTGGATGACTGGACACTGCAGGACTTTGGTTAGTCCTGGCACAATGAGAACACCATTGCTATGTTACCGATGCTGTGGTCAAGACGGTGCTAGGGAAACAGTTGACAGTCGAGACTGCTTTGGTTCTATTTCCAGAGATGCTTTGTATGTCCGATCATCGCCTAGTAGTCTATTTGGATCTAGTAGGTAGTTAGTTATCTGAAACCACAAGTATATATATATCAGAATACAGTTTCTATCTAAAACCACAAGTTAATTCAACAATATTCAGTTCCTAGCTGAAATCACAAGACTTAGTATATATATCACAATTCAGTTTCTGTCTAAAACCACAAGTGAATTCAAATTCAGTCCAAGCTGAAACCACAAGAATATATACTTTAATGCAGTTCCTATCTTAATTAAACCACAAGTAAATTCATCAATATTATTACTATAGCTGAAACCACAGGTAAATATATCCTAATTCAGTTTCTATCTGAAACCCTTGTATAAATTAATGCAATTCCTAATTGGAATCTCAAGAAAATGCACTACAATTCAGTTCCTATCTGAAACTTAAAACTGAATGTATTATTTTTGAGTTTCTATCAGAAACTCAAGAAATTCTATGTATCACTCTTCACTTAATTGCATTCCTCCCTCTTATACAACTGTGACACTTACTCTAACATGGTGCTCTATTCTGTATAAACTGTGATACTTACTCTAACATGGTGCTCTATTCTGTATAAACTGTGATACTTACTCTAACATGGTGCTCTATTCAGTATAAACTGTGATACTTACTCTAACATGGTGTTCTATTATGTATAAACTGATACTTACTCTAACATGGTGCCCTATTCTGTATAAAACTGATACTTACTCTAACATGGTGCTCTATTCTGTATAAATTGATACTTACTCTAACATGGTGTTCTATTCTGTATAAACTGTGATACTTACTCTAACATGGTGTTCTATTATGTATAAACTGTGATACTTAATCTAACATGGTGCTCTATTCTGTATAAACTGTGATACTTACTCTAACATGGTGTTCTATTATGTATAAACTGTGATACCTACTCTAACATGGTGTTCTATTATGTATAAACTGTGATACTTACTCTAACATGGTGCTCTATTCTGTATGGAGTTTGTTGAAATAATCGTATCTCCCGTATAACATGTGCGATCTGAAAACAAAACAGTTTATGAGGACAAGAGAATAGTTTAAGGCATATTTGTTTATGCCATCATGTACAATTAGTTTTGTGGAAATCCAACCACAGATCAATGTTCTGATACAACCACAGATCAAGGTTCTGGTACAACCACAGATCAAGGTTCTGGTACAACCACAGATCAAGGTTCTGGTACAACCACAGATCAAGGTTCTGGTACAACCACAGATCAAGGTTCTGGTACAACCACAGATCAAGGTTCTGGTACAACCACAGATCAAGGTTCTGGTACAACCACAGATCAAGGTTCTGGTACAACCACAGATCAAGGTTCTGGTACAACCACAGATCAAGGTTCTGGTACAACCACAGATCAAGGTTCTGGTACAACCACATATCAAGGTTCTGGTACAACCACAGATCAAGGTTCTGATACAGCCACAGATCAAGGTTCTGGTACAACCACAGATCAAGGTTCTGGTACAACCACAGATCAAGGTTCTGGTACAACCACAGATCAAGTTTCTGGTACAGTGATAATAAGTAGGGCTTCGTTAATACCTCCGTCAGCAATTCATCTTTCTAAAATTTCCGTTTCCTTTATTGGTTTAATTCCTTGGATTTGTAATCAACGTAACTTTATGTGATTTAAGATAAGTAATCTACAGAAACCCGTACCATCCTCATTTTGGAAAAGTTGACTAGTCCTTCGTCAGTGTTGTCTGGTGTTCCCTCCTCGATAAATGAGAGGTCCGTCAGGTACATACCCAGGTAGGGTATACAGGGAGGATCACACCTGCCAACAAAATACAAGCAGTAGAGGTATACCACCTCTAATAATTCATATCTCCCACAGACTATTTTATACCTCCCACAAGCTATTTCATACCTTCCACAGACTATTTCATACCTCCGACAGACTATTTCATGCCTCCCACAGACTATTTTATACCTCCCACAGACTATTTCATACCTCCCACAAGCTATTTCATACCT